TGGAGCTGAGTCATGCTGCAGAACTCTGGGAACTGATGTACAGCATGTACCTCAGAATCATCCCACCCAAGAGGTGAAGGAGTTGGTATATTTCTGTACTAATTCCGCCAATCATTGATTGAGGGTTGCCCCGGGGGTGTGGCTTCTCAGCACTTTTAACTTCAAGCAGAGTCGCAGAAGAAAATGGTTGGAGTTGTTAGGGCTTCAGTACATGGGTCGCCCATGGTGCTTGCTCCCCTTGTTCCTGACCCTCAGGTTGCTCTCCAGACACAGCCATAACGTTTCATGTGCATCCTTGGAGACATTTTTGCATACATAAGTGTAAATGGATATGTGTAAATAGATGTATTTTTTCCATTTATCCAAATGGGCTTATTCCATATATACTCTTCTGCCCATTGCTTTTTTGTTTTTTGTTTTGTTTTCATTGAGACAGGGTCTCTGTTGCCCAGGCTGGAGTGCAGTGGTGTCATCATGGCTCACTGTAGCCTCAACTTCCTGGCCTTAAGCCATCCCCCTGCCTCAGCTTCCTAAGTAGTTGGGTCTACAGGCGTGTGCCAACATGCCTAGCTAATTTATTATCTTTTTTAGAGATGGCGTCTCACTATGTTGCCCAGGCTGGTCTCAAACTCCTGGGCTCAAGCAATCCTCCCTCCTTGGCCCACCAAAGTGCCGGGATTACAGGTATGAGTCACTGCATCTGGCCTGCACTTTGCTTTTTGCGCTTAATAATATACTTTGGATATTCTCCATTGGAGTCATTTATTTAATTCCTTTTCTTGGCTGTCCTTATTACAAACAAGTTCAGACTGAAAGAGAAAAGAGCTGCAATGGCTTGGCTGAAAGAATGCAAAGAGACTTGTGTTTAGCTCATGGATTTAAAAGGCAAGCTGTTTGTTGAGATTGCAGAGTTTGGTTTAAGGCATTTTGGGATGGCGTGATTTTCCTGTTAAAAACAAATGAGAATTTGCTTGGTGATAAACTCAAGCAGTGTGTGGGCTGATTAGACAATGGAACATGCAATCAATGTATTAACCTCCTAGGATGACTGCAGTAGCAGATGGCAGCTGTCTCCGAGGTGGGACAGCCTTAGCTTGTCCTGAACAGAGGCATCAGAAGTCCTGGGTTGGGACCCTAACTCTGCTGTTGACTTGTGTCGTTTCTGAAGCCTCTTGGACTTTCAGGGTCTCTGTTTTCTTGTCTGTTAGGTGAGGATGCTAATGCCTATTCTACCTCCTCTCAATGGGTTTGATGTGTAGACAGGCCAGTGTTGCAAATCCAAATGTCTTCAGGGCTATGCAGGCAAGTAAATCAGTCAATTGAGCTGTTGTAAGTAATAGGGAGTAGTGGGGACTATAGCTAAGAGGAGAATAAATGACATACAAGCTCACACACACATTTCTCATCTCCCTTGTTTGAACATTTAAGCAAATACTATCCTGACAAGATAAAGCACATCTGTGGAATACTTGCAGCCTTTCAGCCAGAGATGACATCCTATAAATTTGAGATATAACCTCCATGGAAAGGAGTGGCTCTGTTGTGACTATTTGCTAGCCTCAACCCTACTGACTCTTTCAAAACCCACGTTCTTCCACTTCAATTGTCCCTTCCTGCAGCAGTCAAGAGACGCTTGAAGTTGGCTGCAGAAATGACTCCAAAATGTCAGTGGCTTGAAACAGCAAAGATTTATTTCTTGCCCACAGTACTCATCCATTGGCCATGAAATTGAGACTGACCTTAACATCCTCACTCATGTAGCCTGATGGGAACTCAGACTTTATTCTCTGACAGGTTTTAATCTCTGCAAACAAACAAGTGAAAGATATACATGCACACAACTTAAACATCAAATAATCCTGCAAAAACTTAAGACTTAAAAAGTAGTAGTCCTATGCCTCACCTCTACACACCATATTCTGACTCTCAGAGGCCACCATTTTCAGGTGGTGACAAATGCTGTGGGAGAAATAAGGGCATCAGAGGGGTTAAGGAGTGCTCTGCTGTGGAGGCATTTCAGTTTTAAGTAGAACATTGAGAAAGTGACGTTTGAAAAAAGGATGCAGGAAGTGATTTACATGGATACCTAGCAGGTAAGCTGTCTAGGTAGAGAAATGGCAAAGTGCAGGGATGGGAGTGTTCTGCGCTGTTCTGGATCAGTGCTCCTCGCAGAGGGCTAGAAGACCCCTGAGGGTCTTGATGAAATGCATAGTCTCAGTGGGGTCGGAGCAGGACCTGAGACTCTGCATTTCTAATAAGCTCCCAGTTGATGCTAATGCTGCTGGTCTATGGACCACATTTTGAGAAGCAAGGTCCTAGAAAAAGTTAGGAAGTCAATGGGCTGGAGCCGAATGAGAGAAATGGGCAAGTAGAATGAACTGATGACAGAAAGGTAATAGGGAGCCAGATCGTGCCATGCTTATAGGCCACTGTAAGGACTTGAGCTCATATTGCAAGTGACACAGAAACAGAAAAGTGACTTGATCTGGCTTATGTTTTGGAATAGGTTCTAGGAAGGCAAAGGCAACTAGGAACTAATCCAGGTGAGAGATGGTGGTGCTCTGGGCTGGGAGGAGGTGGTGGGATGGGAGAAGTGGGGAGAGCCAGCAGGCTTTCTGACAGGTTGGTTGGAGGCATGAAAGAGGAGTTGCTTGAGCACCTGGAAGGGTGCAGTTGCCATTTCTGCCCCATGTCTCACATCTATCTTCTCTCTCCAGTTCCACTGCCACTTCTCCAGGTTAGGCCACATCAGTTCACACTACTGTCATTGCCTTTGAACAGATACCATAAACATATTTTTCTTGAGAAATGGTTTTGTTCAGTCCCAACCTTTGTAAAGACCTTGTGGTTGCTCACAACATCCATGGTTTAGCAGGGAGAAGCCTTCATGAACTGGCCCTTCTCCATGCTTTTATGTCATCACTCTGCTTCATGAACTAATTGTTCTTGCCCAGGGCTTCACTACCGTCTCCCCATCATGATGTATAAAGGCTGCTGAGCTGTGAGATATTTGCAAACATTGGCACAGTCATCCTAAGGCCACCATGTTGTCTCCCAGTCAAATGCTTTAATCCACTTTGGCTGTGTATACTTTTTTAAAAAGAAGAGATTATTTCATTCTGTTGGAGTGATGCGGCGTGACCTCCTGGGCTCAGGTGATCCTCCCACATCAGCCTCCTGATGCAGGCATGCACTACCATGCCTGGCTAATTAAAAAAACATGTTTTTTAAAATTTTTTTATTTTTTTTATTTTTTTTTTAATAGAGATGAGGTCTCACCATGTTGCCAAGGCTGGTCTGGAACTCCTGGCCTCTAGCAATCCTCCCACTTCAGCCTCTCAAACTGCTGGGATTATAGGTGTGAGCCACCATGCCTGGCCTGGATGTATATACTTTAAGAAAGCAAACCATTTTCAAACTTTCCTTACTGTTCTTTTATCATTACATCAAATTACTTACATCTGTGCTACTCAATGTGGCGTCTATAGACCAGCAGCATCACCTGGAAGCTTGATAGAAATACAAGTTCCTGGACCCCACCCTAGACCTACTGAATGAGAGTTTCTGACAGCAGGGTCCAGGAATCTGTTTTAATGAGCTCCTGAGGATATTCTAACACCTACTAAAGTTTGAGAAGGAGTGCCTATCACACCTCAAATTGAACATCAGTAGGTCCCCACACCATAGTTGAGAACAGCTGATTTAGCCTAGTGGGTGCAACTCTGACTATACAAGAATCATCAGGGGAGCTTTAAAAAACAAAAACCAAACCAGCAATGGTTGGGCCCCCACGACCAGCGATTCTGCTTTAATTGGGCTAGGGTGGGATCCAAGTGATTTTAACACGCAGCCAGGTCTGAGAACCTCGCAAGCTGGCAGATGGATCTCCATTCTGTTTCCCACACACAGCCATATTTTCTGCCTCATACTGTTCTCTCTTCCTGGAGTGCTCATTCATACCATCTCCATGTTGCCAACTCTATTCATTATGGAAAGCTGAGCCCAGATTCAACTCCTGCACACATTGGCCCCTGAGCTTCTCCTCCCCTCAGCTCCTGCTGCATCTGAGCTGCACTTCCCTCACTACCCAAATTCTCTTCTACCTTTGTCACATTTGTTACTTTATAAATCTCTTACTACATAAAGTTTGGTGTAATATCCATTTCTGATCTGTTTTATATCTTTGCAGTGACCCAGAAAATGGTGGATGGATGCTTAAAAAATGTTTGTGGTGAAAGAATGGTTCATGTAGCATCAGAGAGTATTCACTTTTTATTGAAATCTCATGGGTGGCTGCTTTGGCGCTTGTGGCCGAATGTGACCCTTACATTGTACTCTGTTAAAATTAGTCCTCATTCCATGAAAAACTGTTCCTCAAACTGTGTCCTATGCAGTATTTGTGGTCAGCATATATTAATACTATTCCATAGAACAAATGTTATTTAATCAGAGAATAAAAATTAAGAAATATTACAAACCACATGATTGCTGCATGTATTAGTCAGGATTCTCTAGAGGGACAGGACTAATAAGATAGTTGTCTGAAAATGTATGTCTGAAAGGAGTTTATTCAGGAGAATTGACTCACACAATCACAAGGTGAAGTCCCACAACAGGCTGTCTGCAAGCTGAGGAACGAGGAAGCCAGTGGTGGATCAGTTTGAGGTCCAAAACCTCAAAAGTAGGGAAGCTGACAGTGCAGCCTTCAGGCTGTGGCCAAAGGCCTGAGAGCCCCTGGCAAAACACTGGTGTAAGTCCAAGAGTCCAAAAGCTGAAGAACTTGGAGTCCAATGTTTGAGGGCAGGAAGTATCCAGTATGGGAGAAAGACGAAGGCCAGAAGACTCAGCCAGTCTAGTCCTTTCCTGTTCCTCTGCCTGCTTTTATCCTAGCTGTGCTGGCAGCTGATTAGATTGACATTTGTGTCAGTAGACTAGGAGAGGCAGACCCATGAATTGAGGGTGGGTCTGCCTCTCCTAGTCCACTGACACAAATGTCGATCTCCCTTTGGCAACACCCTCACAGATACACCCAGGAACAATACTTTGCATCCTTCAATCCAATCAAGTTGACACTCACTATTAATCTGCACATCACTCTTCAGGTTTTCCTACCATCCCCAGACCACAGAGATTCTTAGTCTTTCTTCTTACTATTACTTTTCTTTCCACAGAGCAGGAATTCCTATAAGATAAAAGTAACCATTTGAAAGTGAACACTTCAGTGGCATCTAGTACGTTACCATGTTGTGTAACTGCTATGTCTATCTAGTTCCAAAACATTTTTATCCCCCCAAAAGGAAACTATCTACCCACAAGCAGTCATTCTCCATTTCCACCCAACTCCCAGCCCCTGGCAACTAGTAATCTGCTTTCTGTTTCTATGGATTTGCCTATTCTGGACATTATTTTATTTACTTTTTGAGATGGAGTCTTGCTCTGCCACCCAGGCTGGAGTGTAGTGGTGTGATCTTGGCTCACTACAACTTTTACCTCCCGGGTTCAAGTGATTCTCCTGCCTCAGCCTCCGGAGTACCTGCTATCACAGGTTCTCTGCCACCACGCCTGGCTAATTTTTGTATTTTTAGTAGAGATGGGGTTTCACCACGTTGGCCAGGCTGGTTTTGAACTCCTGACCTCAAGTGATCTGCCCACCTTGGCCTCCCAAAGGGCTGGGATTATAGGTGTGAGCCACTGTGCCCAGCCTGGACATCATTTCATATACATGGAATCATGCAATATGTGGCTTTTTGTGTTTGGCTTCTTTCTCAGAGCATAATGTTTTTCAGGCTTCTC